ACCAGTGACGAACTGTAGTTTACAAGTGCGGACGTCATTTTCTCTTGCTACAGAATTTTGTTAGAGCTTGTTTGTTTTCAAAGGAAGCTTCACGCAGTGCACGGGGCATCAATTCTGAATTTTCCAGCTCATGTATTTCAGTCTAGACCTTTCTTTCTCTAGGAAAATCTGTTTTGTTAGTATAGGGTTGTAGCTCAGTGTTTTGTACTTTCACAGTTTAGTACTCGTGATAATTTATAAACCTGCAACACTTACAGTATAATGAATTTAATTTGTAGTCTTCAAAGGAAATAAAAAGTGTGTTTTTTTAGACAAATACATAAATTCTTTTTACAGTGCGGACTTTCAAACCGACACACTTGAAAAGAGATTGTCCAATCACAACGTTTTCTAAAAACAAAACACCTCTGTACAGCGGCCACCATTTTTGTCCCGGCGGACAGTCCATACATAAGACTCTTGTTTAAACCTCTCTACAACGGCAATGGCCAGTAAAGCGCGTCCTTAATTAGTGTCAAAACAACCTCTCGACGACCCTCTCGACAAGGAACCTGTGAAAAAGTCAAGAATGGTCGCGTCATGACATTTAATCCGTATGGCGCCTTGATGATTAATCGCGGCAATCGTATTTGGATTGTGTTTCATTTATACTGGTGCAGTAAGCGAGGCGACACGTTGCTGCAACACGTCGCGGCGACAGATCACTCCGTGTGTACAGGTCGGGCGACTAGTTGCAGCAACAAGGTGAGGCGACACGTTGCAGCGACAAATCGCTTCGTGTGTACTGGAGAATTTTTGTGAAATCTTTGTCTCCGCAGCAGAATTTGGTCGCTGCAACAAGTCGCAAAAAATCAAATCAGACTGAATCTGTGCGACGTGTTGCGGCGACAAATTCTTTGGCAGCGACAAAGATTTTCACAAAAATTCTCCAGTACACACGAAGCGATTTGTCGCTGCAACGTGTTGCCGCGACATGTTGCTGCAACTTGTCGCCTAGTGTGTACCGACCTTAAAGTGTCTACGATACATAAGCGAATGTTGCGAACCTTGATCGTTTTTGTAACGTTATTAATTTCGTTTTTTGTCTATTTTATTTCTCTATATTATATATGACTGGATTACTATTGTTGGGATACAGTAAGCATAAACTAAACACAATATACATGTACTCCATGAAAAAAAAAGTCATATTTCACACATACCCCCCCATGACCTAACTCCGGCCCTCTCCACAACGGGCACTTTCTTCAGTCCCCCAAGGTGGCCGTTGAAGAGACAGAGAGAGGTTCGACTGTACTGACACTGCCAAAGGAAATGTTGATAAGAAAGTGAGTAACCAATAGGCAATTTCAGTTAGGTTTTGAAATTCAAAGAATTAACAATTAATGAATGAGGCTGAGTATCTTATGAAAAATTATGGAGATTGCGGAGCTCTCGATAATATTCATAGTTTGTTCAAACAAAATATAAAATCGTGTAATGCTAAGTGGCGAAGGCATGCAATGCCGGAAAAAGGTGAAAAACAACAATAGGTCTAATTAGCAAAAGCAACTTTGCACGTGCAACACTTTTTTTTTGTACATTTCTTTGCCGTTGTTTTGTACGACTACAACGTGAAACTTCCAGAAACTTGTTAATTACACGTTTTATGGAGGAAATGTCGTACGTGTTCCCGTTCACTGCCGCTAATTTTCACCTTGTCATGGTGGGCGGTAGCATTTCTCATTTTGTCACCGCCGCTACAAAATTTTCTTCTTGTTCCTCCAACAAAAAATGTCTCCTTTGTTTTTTATCTCTCGCTATAAATCCCTGTCGCCCTTTTTCTCGTTGAGCTTCGCTGGCCTGCCGCCCACTTTCTCTTTTTCTCTGTCTTTCTCTTGCTCTATCTTCCAAATTTGTGGACATGACAATTTATCTAAGTTGAATACTTTAGACAACACGGATACAGAAACAATTTCCGCTTTCCGTTTTCGTGCTTTATTTACTCTTTTGTTGTCTCTGCTTTACAAGACGCCGGTGGCTATGCGATTTCCCGCCAAAATAACCTCGAGTTGCATTTGGGTTACCATACCTGCTGATTAAGTTATTTTACATTGGTATGCCTGTAGCGCGGACAGATGGTAGGGAGCTTTAGCATCGACGACGGCAACGGCAGCGAAAACGTCAGATTTAAAATGAATTCCCGTTTTTTCAATCTTTGTCGCGTTTATTCCAATTTGCTGAAAATGGCAAGTGTAGGCGAATTTCCCTGGAGTTGATTTCTTGAGGACCGCACTCAAGTTTAGAGAGAGAAAAAGAGATTCGTCGTCGCTTGTTTACGTCCTCCATAAAACTTGCAATTAGGCATTTTCACGTCGTAGTCGTGCAAGGACGGTAAAGAAATGTACAAAAAAGCGTGATGCACGTGCAAAGTTGTTGTTTTGCGTAATAAACCTATTGCTTTTTTGACGTCCTGGTTGCCGTCGCCGTCGTCGTTGCTAAAGCTCCCCGGTCTCTCGGG